ATATTCAGGTTCATTTATATAATATTATGTTCAGATTTTTTGTTTTGTTATTTGATAACAGAGCAGCTGCATCAATTTTAACGTAGAGTGAATAGTATATTTTTTTAGTACCATGTTTAAAGGTAGAATTCTACTTATATTTTTGCAAACATAGCAGTAGAAATATTTTATGTCAAAATGTGTCTATTTGTTTTAGTATCACTAGTCGTCAACAGTATGTGAATTTTTTTGGTTCGCTGTCAATCTGTTTTTTGAGAAAAGCTGTAAAATAATATGCATAAAATGTCATTTTAGCAACAATTTCTATACACCATGATGTAAACACATTCCCTCGATTAAAAAGCCACTAAAAATATTGGCAAGTTTACATATAATAAAAAAAAAGTACCTTGTAAGACACTATATCTTTTTTCACCATATGTCATCAAGCAAAATTTTTAGATACCGGTATATCTGTTCCATAAGAAGCAATGGTAAAATGCCATAAAACAGACAAAACATGCTATTTTCACTCCATTTTGTTCATTGATTTTCTTTGAACGGAGTATGGTAACCCCATATTTTTATTTGATTATCTTTATCCTTGGAACATGAAATATCAAATATGAAAAATTAAGAAAATGATAATATTTTTACTTTTGTATACACAAAGGTAAAAATATCATTTTCTTAATAGAATGCTAGGTAGAATGGTAGAATGCTACATAGCATTCTACCTTAAGCTATATACCACCACTAAGGGCAGTATTATTACTGTCAGAAACTAACTCAGTCCACCTCTAGGTTGAAATACTTTTTAGCCAAACTAAGACTGGTCATCAAGTCACTGTTTTTTAATGAATGAATTAAAGACATATATATGTATTCAGTCTGTAGCAATGATAGTTTCTTTGGTGTCCTGTGATATACATTTGTAGTGTCATGGAATTTTGTTTTCACAAATGCCATGCTATTAGTAAAAATGGTTTACAAGATGCAAATTGACTAGTAATTTGTCAGGGATGATACTGGGTGCCTCTCCTACACAAAATCAGCTCTTGGCTGGCTCCCTATCAGATCTGTGTCATCTTGTGACTGTATTAAAATCTTTGGTTTTAGAGTTTTAATATTTTTTGTCATTTGTATTAAAAAAAAAATTATTTCAAAATTTTGTTTAAAGCATAATTGCTTTGATACAATATAATATGTGTTTTTGATAAAAAATGATACATTGTTTAGGTTAGGGGATGTAAGTTTATATAATATTTGTTCTGATGGCTGTATTAAAAATTAGATATGAACCATTTTGTGATGAAGTTAGGTGAGCCTTGTACCTAGCAACCAGTACCTGACTACTTTGTTGAGAGTAAACTGTATTTCAATTGTTTTGATGGTGAGCGTTTACTTGACTTGGTCGCTTGGTAGTAATTTTATGTTTTTTTTGTTTTTTTTATTGAAAAATGTTATTTATTATTGATATGATAGCTCGCTCATTAATTGAATTGTCAATCATTAATGATGACATTACTTTTGTTATTTAAATTTAGTTAGCAATTTATTTTAAAGTTACATTGCCAGCATATTTAATGTATCTTTTAAAAGTTATCATGGATCGTTCTGAATTTATAGAAACTTATCATCATTTGTCTGTCTGTTTTGTCTGTTTATAAAAACTTTTCATTTTCCTATTCAAACCATTATTCAGAGTTATCACATATTATAATAGTTATTGAGTGCTTATAGTACATGGTATCTGTTCAAGTTTGTTTATTACATGATTTTGGTATTGCCTATACAATGTAATAAAATAAAGGTGACAATTTAATTGTATGTGTGACAAAATTTTTGTTTTCTAAATACCTTTTTTATACCTAGATATTATTGATGAAAAAAAACAAATGTCGAAGCACAAAACATTGTTTAGTGTAATATTTTACATTTAAATTACCATGAATCAATGGGAATATGTTACACATAGTGTGTTACCTGCTGTCTGGAAATGGTAAACATTTATTTCAGTTATTACCAGTACATTAGTAGATTTTCATTTTGTGTTTTCATAATTCTGATGTATGAATTTAATGAATGATCAACAATGTATAAATATTATTTGTAGGTAACTGTCTTTGCAATAATTTTCTGTGGATCTCATATTTGTTCTACACTTTCCATTTTAAAAATTATGAATTCAGACGAATTTTGTTTGCTGTTAGCTCAATGTTACCCCAACGAGTCTTGTGGTTATGAAAGTTAGTTTATTTATTCACTGATTTGTAGGAATCGGAAAAACGCATTTCTCCACTTGTCTCTTTATTAATTTCATATTCAAGATGGCTGCCCCCATATAGTACATTGTAAATATCAGTAAATTAATCACATTTATTGTATTATTACTTGTGTGCCAGCTGATTGTGCTCATTGGTAACTAAAAATGTGCAAATTACCAAAAAGGCCCCCTAGCTTTGTGAAACATCCTAAAATTAAAATAGGATTTCGATTTTCGCTGTTCATTTCAAAATCTTATTGTTGAAAACTAAATGTTGCCACCAGAAGAGTAAGTTCAGGAATCACAGCTAAAATCTTAATTGTGATTACTTACTGCCAATTCATCAACTGAAATTATCTGTATGTACGTCAAAAAACAAAATGTTAGAATCCGACACCATTTAATAAAAATACTGAAGTCATTTGGTGCTGTACACTTGATTATATTTTAAGGGTGGACAAAACTTGTGGATAAAGCTTGTGGATTGATGAGCAAACCACTGCAGACGGTATTCATTTTCTTAGCGTCTGAAAAAATAATTTTCTATCTATCTTTTTTGAATCAAAATACCCAAGAGTCGCATTGTTGTTCAATGCACTCTATGTCTTCATTGCAAAATATTATTTTTGCCAATTTCAGTTGACAGCAGGATTACTATTATTGTGTGTTCATGTTTGGGAGCCTACTTCAAAACATAAAAAAACGTAGTACATGTATTCGGTGTATTTTGCCACAGCTTGCATAATTAAAAACACGCTCTCACCTGATCAGAACGGCGTATTCAGACAATCAAATGTAATGGTCCAAACATGTATAAATAATGGGAATTGATATACACCATATGTAGTGTGGATTAGTGATACATGTATATTTTGTACATTACTACTAGTGTTTAGGCCATCAGTGAAAACATCACTCACTCTGAATAACTACATTTCATGCAAAGTAACAGAATAAATTTAACAATTTGGAAGATTCAATATCAGTACTATTCGTCACTATTCCATCAACAAATGTAACTGTTGAAAATGTGCTTATTCATAGATAAATTTGGGTTGTATTTTAGTAATGTCCATATTTCTGAGTTCTATGACGTCAAACCATAAATTATCCTGTAGTTAGTGTTGGATAACTAAAGCATCTAGCAGCAGCATAATTGCTACACAGTGAGTGGCATGCTTCATATTTTTATTTTTCGACTAATCAATATCGCTACACTTCCTCTTTCCGAAAATTAGCATGCTGTTTTTCACATTACAGTGTTTCCACCAACTGTCACCTGTGTTCACCTTTCGTTAACCACTGTAGCATACAAAATGTGTTTAGACGCATTATTAACTTATTTAAATTTATAGGGTAAAAAAAATGTTGATGACAATTTTTTTTCCTGAAAAAAATAAATATTAATAATAATATACATGTGTGTGAATGCCATAGCTTGAGAGAAGTACCACTTGGTCAATTGTACTAATGTTGTCAGTGTGTGTCAGCCATTGTTATTAGTGGCATTCATTCACAGATCTCAGCACAAGAATTAGGACTGAAAATGTGTGTGTGAAAGGTTGGAACCTATTCCAGTCCCAATAAGTGTCAGGATCAAAACTTGTCACATGCTAAGATTGGCTGTCTCAACGTTTGGCATAAACTGATATTACACCCTCTGTGATGAATTTTGGAGGGATGTGCAGCTCGCTTGTCGAGAAAGACACATGCATAGTTAAATGCCAAAGTAAAAGCACTTACTAATATATGGAAAAAAGATGACATTTTATTTCACATTAGCAGCTCAACAAAAACAGGTGTATGAAGGCACGAGTGCATCTCAGTGTAGGTCCTGATTAACATGAACGCAATTGTAATTCCTCTGCAAACAGGGATTAAAATTGTTCGGCATGTAACATGAACATATAGGTAATATTGCCTGCAATGCATCATAGTAAGGTTTACCTATAATTTGTGCACTCAAGTGATATATGATCCAAGTCTATGAAATGAGTGCCTGATACAAACACGTATGAGCACCAGTGTATAAATCTATTTTTAGATTAAGTTAATTTCTACACTGTATTTGTGTATAAATAGTGTTCATTGTATTCACTGGGAATATATTTATGGATAAATTTGGTCCAGTCTCCAATTTGGTACTGATAATTGGTGATGTATGTATTTTTGCTAAATTACCCAATTGTCGGAATATTCTGTTATTGTTTGCCATCATTTAGTGTGCAAGTGTGCCATAGTAATTCAGTTAGGTGATAAATATGCAAATTACTTTCCTACTAGTACACGTGTAATTTGACTGTTGATAAATACTATAACAGAGAGAGTGATTGTACAATACATACTCTAGGTTCTTGTCTAAATGTGGAAATGCACAGCCTAATAGTGTTCTTTTTTACCTTAACAATTTTGTTAGTCTTAGACATAGCTCAGTTTTCATATAGTCCAATTGTAAGTCTTTAAATTCAGTAACAATTTATCATCATTTTAAAATCAAACTCAGTGTTCTTTTCAATAATTTATCATTGTGTTATTTTATACTCTTTGTGTTGTTGTTAATTTACTGACTATTTTAGTCATATGAAAGAAAATTAATATTTATAGCTGATTATGGTCGATTATTGCTGTGATTTATGTATGTGGAGTGTATATTGAATGTGTTGGGCAGATTACATACCCAAGCATATGGTAACACTTTTTAAATCCATCTAAATGTTTAATTACTTATATTGCCTTCTTTCTCTTTCTGTTTCAGCTGTATGGAGAAGTTGATGACTGTAGCTGTAAGGTTGACACTGTAGATTATTTTAATAATTATAAAATTCATCCAAGATTAGTTGAGTTATTAGAAAAAAACTTTTTCAGATTTTACAAAGTAAGTGAGCCTTTTCTTCTAAGTATACACAATATAGACATACATGTAACTGTTTATTGTGGTATCATATGTAAATTATCATACTTGAATGCCTCTGTTAGTTGGGTCGACTAATTTCTGTTAAAATTTTTCTATAGCAATTCAGCCACTTTATAGGCTCATTCACCAATCTGCCAAAACCTTAACTATTTAGTGTGCTTGGTATTCGAAAATACATTCATTAATATTTTATGATGTTATTTGTACAAGCTTGTTTATACGAGTAACATTACGGGTAGCCCGTGATGCCATGAGTATTAACCAGCTCTAAGTACTAGTGATATCACTTTTTATCACATAAATAACTTTTTGTGCCAAAAAGACATACTGTTAAAATCATGATATTTTGTAGCAGTTAAAATGTTGCTGAGGTTCTAACAACATGGAGTGTCACTGACTTTCCTGAAATTTTGTCTTTCCAAATGCCATAAAATCCTTAACTCAGTTGTTAAGTGTCATTGCATCATTTAAAGTAATCCAGACTGAAATTCTAGTAAAACTACAATAAAAACAGTATTATTTCTTCACATGATATTTGAACACAAATAAATGGATGTTACAATATCAGCTAATGTTACAAATATATGCACCATTGTCATGTGAAAATAATATGTATCTATCTGCCATTTTAAACAATAGAAAACCAATTTAATTTGAATCATTATATTAATGTTTCATAAACTTTACTTTTATAGAATAATTACTTTACTCAGTTTAAAATCTATTTTCTGTTGATACAGGTGAATTTACACAGAGAGTGTCCATTTTGGCCTGATGATGGCCAATGTGCCTTCAAGGATTGCTCAGTTCATTCATGTACACCTGTAAGTATACCAAACCATTGCATTTTACAATGTATGCAATGAAATTATTTTTACATCTCATCAGAACTAGCTACAAGTTTATTAAATGTACAACCCTCTCTCTCCATCCATAATCTGAGTATAATGTCGTATTAATTTGAGTTTATAATTTCATTTCCATGTTATAACACGTAGTGTTATTATACACATAATTACCATCCTGACCTTGTTAATTGTTATACATTATATTGGGTCACAAATAAAGAGAAAATCAGAATAATATTATGTTTCATGAAAAATATGTATTATTTGTACTATATTTCAGAATACATTTGTTTAAAAAACTCTATTGATAATCTGCTTATGTGTTATATCAAAGAACAAGGTTTTAGAATATAACAGAGAAAAAAGAATGTAGTTTTTCTATAAAATACTTTCTTTCTCATATCTGTGTATGTGAGGCTTATTCTGTAAATTTTTAAAGATCGAATGCTACTTAATATTAACTGTTTTGTCAATTTTTTTATTGTTACATATGTGACGTTTGATGTTGGAAATGAGGGAAATTGAATAAAAATATGGGGTATCAGAGAAAATTGATGTACAAAATGAAGTGAAAATACATTATTTTTAGACCTTATGGCATTTTACCATTGTTTCCCTCAACAAAGAAATATCTTTATATCTTAAAATTTTGTTCAGTGACAGACATGTGGGGGTAATTATCAATATTGTCTTACAAGGACAGGTACCTGTTGATTACAATGATTATAGTCAAGAATTGTTTATAGTGTGTGTTTAATTCTACAAATTTAAACCTGCAATTACTTGCACATGTAATGATTTCAATGAATACATTTAGCCAATTAGAGATTAGAAAAATGCATAAATATACACAAAATGTTACAGTAAAATTATAGCATTTCAAGGGATAAACTCCTAAATCTTTTGTGTATTATTTTACAGTTTTTTTCTAAAATTGATTGTCATTGAGCTATAAAAAGATAAATTTCAAATAAAATAGATATTTGAGACAGATGGTCAGTTCATGCCTTTCACATAATCTTGAAGAAAATCATGTTTTAATATTTATATGATATTAACAAAAAATATTGTTTTTCAGGATGAGCTCCCTAAAGGTTTTAAACCAGAGAATAAGGTAAGTCTGCAGTACAGTACTTTGCTTTTTTACCCTGCCCTCAATTCTACTTACATTATATTCTTAAAGTTCACATTTATGTTTTTGGTTCATATTGCTCTACAAGGGATTTTTGTAAAAAAAAAATTGAATAATAAATCATATTTGAGTAAAAACTAAAAAGATTCCTGAGTTGTAGCTGTGCAGTGATTGGCCAGTAATAAGCATTTGTGTATCAGTGATATAGCACTTCCATATATGGTCATGATGACCTCATCGTTGACCAGTCAAAATGGCAGCTATGCAAGCTGAAGCTCTTACTGTTTCTCATGTTTATTGAAGAAAGATTATGAGCTATTCATTGTTGCAAGAAGATTGAATAATTAATACTAATACCACTTATATGTAGTTTGTGCTTATATCATGAGTAAATTGAATTAACTTCTAGTTCTGTCTTTACCAATTCTACTACGTTGTACGACTGCGATCATCATGTACATGTATGCTCTAGGAACAGGGTTGTTGTATGCAAACGAATAGGTCATGCTAAAAAGCTTAGAATAAGCACACATGAATAACGATTCTGATGTAACAGCTGGAAATTACTACACTATGATATCATGGGTCACTAATTGGATATTCTCTATACATGTATATCACTCAGATTGCTTCTTGATTATCACGTTTTTGTTTAAGATAACAAAAGCAGGACAGATGCCGTCAGTCATATTTTTGCACAACTATATGGTGGGTTTCTGCATATCATAAATATACTTCAGAACTCAGTTAATATAATTATATTAATTATATACCAAAGTTGTGTGTTGAAATTATAAAATTAAAAGTGTGTTTCTGTGATAATTAGTCAAATTTTTGAAGAACAACAATACATTTATTTCATGTGAACTTAATTAATATAAGGTAAACTCATGGAACTGTGCTTTATTAATTCTTTATTTTGAACATTTTAAGTTTGTTTGCAAAAATAACAAAATCATTTCCTATTGGTTCATTTGAAAACATTCATTAAACAAAATATATTTTGTGAAAGATGACAAAAGTTGACCTTTTATATTTAGTAAAGTATGTAAGGAGAAGTGTCATAAAAATATGTTTTTTTTATATTTATTTTTTTATATTTTATCCAGATGTTAATAATGCATCATATTATTTGACCATAATGATAAAATAATGGAATGCTGATATCTGTTTTCTAGTTTGTGGATACTGACTATACACTGTTTGAAATATGTCATGATAAATCTTGCATCCATCATGTATGATGATGACTATCTCGCATCCATTGTGCACATTTTATTAATTATTTTGTAACAGCTGTTTTTATCAATGCTTTTTTCATATTGATAATTGTCAAATATATGCTGCATGGATTGTGGTTACCATAGAGAGGGTATCTTTCATTCATACATCAATCCCTGTCTGTCTTAAATATAATTTTTTATCATGACACAAATATTTCTTAAAAGTCAGAGATTTGACTTAAAACATGGAAAAAAAAAAGAATTTACTGAAGATCATTCGAAGACTATTTATACTAATTATTTCTGTAGTTGTTATTCAAGTATGCCGATTTTTTTTGTATTGTATATTTTATCAGTCTTTTAATGCAGGTTTGAATTTGTTATGCACATTGAACATTATGAGGTCTTGATGCACATCATTTTGTTTTTAGATCGGATTTAAAATGGCTGACTGACTTTTATTTTAAAACTGTGTCTCTGACATGTATTGACTGATGACTATCAAACTTTATAATTACATCAAATTTCGTGTCATTTGTTTCATGTTTTTATTCAAAATGACTGATTTATTTCAGTTTGTATACTTACTACTGTGAAACTATTCATTTTCACTAACATTTAATTTCACTATTTTGATGTTTTGAGCATATTGACATAATTTCACAAACTTGTCAAGGAAACAGTGAGTTTAATTGTAATTTTACATATTCACACTGATTTAATTTAGCAGATTTTACTTATCACCGAAAACAGTGACCAATAAAAACCCAGTGAATAATTAATGCATTACAGTATTGAACTAACAGGGATTCTATCAAGACTTGTTTTCTTTTATACTTGAGTCTTGTAATTATGACACTTTTTAGTTATGACACTTTTCGTTTATAATTTCAGTATTCTGAAGAGGCCCAGCAAAGTGATAGTGGAGCTTGTGAATCAAAAACCAATGAGGAGATACAATTGGGAGCCCTAGATACCAGTCTGAGTGAAGAAAGTAAAGAGGCTTTTAAATCTTGGAAAAGACATGATGACGATCAATTCAGCTTCTGTGAAATGGATGGTAAGTTTTCACCCTGTTTATAGCAATATTACAGTATACAGTATGTGTTCATTGTAATTTATATTATTCTATTTGTGGGCATTTATGAATGTATAAGGCATGGCTTATTGTGTTGAGTTATTTCAAAATGAATTCAAATCAAGTTCAGGAATGGTAAAAAAAAATATTAGTTCTTGTTGGACCTAGTCCGAAACAGGGACTTCTGTTTTTGTTTCCGTCTGTTCATCTGTCCTTCCATGCATTTTTGTCCAAGGTTGGTACAAAGACAAGCCATAATAGGCTACAGATGCATGTTGATTTGTTTTCTGCTGACCTTTGACCGACTAGTGGTTCATTTTGTAATACAATTTCACAGATTTTGTTAAATTTGATAGAAAGGTATTTTCCTCTTAAGATACTTTTTGGTGTTCATTCAAATTTAACCAACTGGCAGTAATTTTTATTAAAAAAAAAACAAAGTCACAAAATTTAACTGTCATCAACCAGGCCTTGCTTGGCAGATTTTATTACCTTGCCTGTACCATCAAAGATAGAAGGGAAAGGTATATTAAGGGAAAAATTTTGTCCAGCGTTGTCGTCGTCGTTGTCGTTGTCGTCGTCGTTAATAATTGTTATTGTGTGCATGATAACTTTACTAATTCTATTCCAAACTTCATCAAACTTGGTCACCTAGTTCATCAGTATAAAGTCTTCCCTGAGTTTGAACAACAGATGTCCTGTATGAAAATATCATGCAAAACTTGAGAAAAACTGATAAAATATTTTGACTGTTTCTACTTGACTGATCACTGGTGATACACATCAAAGGTCATTGATCTCAGTGGAAATATGCATTGTTGTATGTGTTCAATGAAGCAAATGATTTATCTTGTAATAATATCCTTGGTAATGTATCTCAGAATCCCGTACTGGGTTTCAAAACCAACGCATGGAGAGATTG